ACGCGCATTGCAGCTCAACTCCATTGTTCTGACCGCGCAGAAGATCGAGGCGCGCATCGCCTTCCCAGCGATGGGCGATGGCGCGCGCGGGTCAGATCTGCGCGCGCAGCGACGGCTCGTTCCAGCGCGAGGAGGAGACAGGACGTGGCGTGCGTGGCGTCGTATACATGTTTCTGGGCAAGTGCCGCAATACTGGCAAGCAGATCTGGCGCTTGCCCGACGCTGAGAGCAGATCGCGCAAGCTCGTGTGTCGATCATCGCTCGGCTCCGAGCTGCTCGCAGCATGCGGAGTAGCAGACGGCCCGCAGGCTCCCCCCTGACGCTCCGCAGCGAGTTTGAGCGAGGAACGGCGCGAGAAGACAGCGCCGAGTTCCCGCAGCAGCAACGTCCATACGGAGATCTGCGACTCGCATGTTTACTCCATCCGATGCTCGCAGTCACGGGTTCCGCACGCCGATGGAAGGTTCGTTTGCCATCCTCTCAGGGGGGGAGATGCGAAGAGCGAGCCACGCCAGCGAGCGGGTCACATCCAAGAGTTGGGTTCGCGGAGCAGCAGACATCGGACAGCAGGGTGCGCAAGTGAACGGTTTCGCGCTCTATTCGAATTTTCTGTTGCCAGGCATCTTGTCATTAAGGGCCCGGTCAGTGGATGGTCCTCCGTGCCTAGCCCGATTCGCTTGTGCAATATGTAGCATGGGCCCGATTAGTAGAAGGTCCTTCATGCTAAGATCGCACTCCAGCTTCGCTGGCCCGGGCGCGCATTGCGCACCTGGATCGGCGACGCGCCGCTGTTTCGTTCGAGGGCCGGGCCAGGGCGGGGCCGCATCATGCTTCCCCTGTCTCTTGTTACGTAAATCGTTTCTGCTGCTGCTGCCTTTCTGGTCCTGGGGTGCGCGGCGTGGCCGGGCGTCGTGTCCGCGTCGTTCCCGTCTTATGCATGTCGCGTTGTTCTTGGAGCCGCAGCCCCAAGCGGTGTTTTCTTATCCAGATCCTTCACTTCTAGTTTCTCCTTGTCCTCGCCTTCCTTTCTCCTCGCCTTCATTGCTCCACTCCTCTCGCATGTTCTGCCGGCCACGAGGGGGAAGGGGCCCCGTCTGTCCCCGCGCAGGGCCGCGCTTCTCCCCTCCGCGCCCCCCGCCGCGGGCGCCTCGCGTTGGCGCTCGCCCACGCGGCCAATTGAGGGGGCGGGCAAGGTCCGTTTCGGGGGCGCCCCGGCCGCGTTCCACGAGCTGCTCGGAGCCCCCGCCGTTGGGTCCCCGCGGGCTGCCCAGACCGAGCGGCGGGGGGCGCTGCCCCCCAGCCCGCTCAGGCGCGGCCTGCCGACGCCCGGTTCGCGCGGGCGTTAGCAGCGGCGGCGGGCGAGACGCCCGGCGGGCGAGACGTCCGCAACGCAGGCGCCGCGCGAGCCCTGGCCCCGCGGCGCGCCCCGCGCAGTCGCGTCGACGGCGGCGCGCGGCCAGCGGCGCCGCCGCTAGGTCGGCCCGCTCCGCGGCGGCCGTCGCGCGCGGCGCGGCCCCCAGCAGCTTCTGCTCCGGGCGGCGGGCGCGCGCCGCATCTGGCGCCGGCGCCCTGCTTGCCGCGGCGGCGCCGGCGCAGCCGTCGGCCGCCGCGTGGCAGAGGCGGCCCCGCTCGCTGAGCCCGCGGCGGCGCGCCTCCGCTGGCGTCTTGCGAGCTGTCGCCCTGCGAGCCTGGAGATGGTCGTCGCGCGCGGCGCCGCCGGCGCGCGTCTCGGGTTGGCGCGCCCCCGGCCCAGCGCGTTGGCGCCGTCGTTGGCATGAGCGCGCGCCCGCGCCGTCCACAGGCTATCCGGGGCGTGGTCGATTGGGCCCGCGACTGCGAGAGCCGCCGCCGGAGCCGCCGGAGCCTCGGCCCACTTCGCCGCACGCGGCCCGGCGACTGGGCCGGGAGGTTGGGCGCCGAGAGCGTCGACCCGCAGACCCTATAGGCCGCTCGCGCCAGCGGCGGGTCAGTGGAGAGGAGGCATGTTCCGTCGCCCCACACTGCGCGGCGGGGTGCTCCTAGCGGTCGCTGCGGGCCTTCGCTCCTGGCGGCTCCCCTCGACGCGAGAAGCGGCGCGACGCCGAAGCCCCTGTCTGTGCGACCCCCGCCGGGGGCGGCCCCCGCCGGTCCCCCGCTGGCCGCGTTTTTCGACCGCGGCGCGGCTGCGAGCGCGGCGCGGCGCGGGCCCGCCCGCGCTGGGCGCAGCCGAAAAAGGTATTCGCGGTCCTCGGTTGCCAGCCCGCAGCGAGGGCGCAAGCCCGCATCGCTTTCACACTTCGCCGCTGTGGCCTGGGTCACGACGCCGTCGCACAAGACGCCGCGCAGCCGGCGGCCTCGGGCGCGAAGTCGTTGGCAGCTAGCAAGCGGCGGGTTGCCCAACTGTCAACCCCGCCGGCCAGGCGGGCGTAGCACGGGCTGCGCGGCGCAACCTGCGGCATTCGGCCCAGCTGCGCGGCGCGGCGCCCACTTGGCCCAGTGCGCGAGTAGCTCCAGCGATGACCTCAGCAGCCGCGCGGCACCCGATGCGGGGTCGAGCTGTCCTGGTCCTGCCCGCGCAGCCTGCAGCGCCGTCGCGACGGTCGCTGCCGCCCTGTGCCTCGGGCCAGGCGAAAGTGGGGGATTTGGGAAGGGGGTGGTGCGAAATTTGCTGCATGCAGCTGGTTTCGGCTTCACCGAGGAGCCCGCTCCGCGATGCTTAGCCGCCTCCGGCGCCGGGAGGCGCCGGGCAAATCAGCTACGCGAGCTCATTCTCAACCCCCCCCTTTGCTATCCCCCTTCGCCCGACCCGAGTGTCCCAGACGCCTGGTGGGGCTGAGGGCGCCCAACGTGCTCTCGGCCGCCGCGCGGGGCCTGTGGCTGGTGGCAGCTGCGGGGGCGCGGCCGAGCTTCTCGATCTCGCCCGCGGCGGGGCGGCCACGGGGCGACGCGCTGGCACTCGCTTCCGCGCCCGCGGCAGCCCCCGTCAGATACTGCCACAGGATGGCACTGTCAGGCGGCGGAGGCGCACAAAACGTGCGTAAGTCAGTCGCGTTCACGCGGAGTACGCGGGGCGTTTGCGTCGCCAGCCAGCGACCGCGACGACCCCGAGGTCGCGCGCGGACCTCATCACGGCGGAGATCGAGGGCATCTCGTGCTGGAGCCACCGCCGCGCCGTGCCCTCGTTGGCAAACTGTTCGCTGAGCCACGTCTTCCTCGTAGGTCCGGATGACCCGCGTGGCCTCGGCCACGGCCTCGGCAGTCTCGCTGGGTCGCCCCGCGCCCTCCGCACTTCGTCTCGCGGCGGAGGCGGAGGGGCGGCGAGGAACTGACATGTGTTACCCTGGGGTTTTCTTTGCGGTGCGAGTGCCGCCTCTGCGCTCGCCACGCGGATGCCGCGGCGCCGCTGCGTCGGGCCTCATTTTTACTCAGCTCGCCCCCGCGACCCGCGCGTTCGCTTCGCGCGCTTTTTCCGATGCTTCCCACCTTGATCGACGATCGAAGTCGGCCGATGCCTTTGAGCTGCGGCTGGTAGGGAAATCGCGCGTCGCGCCTGCCACTTTTCACCGCGGCTGGCTCTTGGCTGCTGGTTTTCTCGCCATATTCGCGGCGTAGCTTCGTTGCGCGCCCCCCCCCCCCCGCGTTATATATTGGCTCCCGCTACCCATGGCGCCCAGTCTCCGTCCCCCAACTGGCACGCCCCATTGTCGGAAGCCTGGGATGTGGCCAAGCAGTGGAAGGTGGTCGATCCTCCTACGTTCCGCCCCCCGCTGCCCCGTGCGCTACTGCGTGCAATTCTGGCCTCGGTCAGGTTTGTGGCTGGCCGCTGATGGCAGCTCTTCTGCTTCAGTTTGCGTTTGACCATGCTCTTCAGACGTGGGGGGCCTCTGGCGCCTCGTCGCAGTGACGCGCTGCTGCCTTGCGATCGCCTTGGTTCCAGCGGTGAGATTTTGTGTCTCATGTGTTTTTTGTCATTGCGTCGGAGACCGGTCGAACCTATCCGACCCTGGGCGCTCGCTGCTCGGACAGATCTGCAGTGGGGCCGTTAGAACAGGTGTTCCAACATTTCTGATCCGCCGATCCGCTCACAGTTGTTGGGCAGAGTGGCTTCGGCGCATGATTGAACTGTTTGATTTGAGCTCTGGGCGTTCGCCAATCTGGCCTCAGGGTTGAACCTTGAGGCTGTCAGACCACGGGGCGCAGGGGCGAATGACTTGCACGCGGCCGCGGAAGACGCCCCTCGCGCCTGCGGCTTGCTCGGTGGCGCCAAGCCTATACGGCAGAGCGCTACCTGCAAGCGGCCACCGCGTCGTCAGTTTTATCCGCCCTCTTCGCGCTCGCACGAACGTGCGTTGCATCTGCTTCATTGCTGGCGACCGCGCGTCCGCTGCTTTATTTTGCGTTGGCCCTGCTGCGTGGTCAATCCAAAGTGCGCAATCAGCGTGCAGGAGCTCTTGGCACGAGTATGGCATTAACGCTCACTACGTGGGTCTGACGGGCTCCACCACTTGAGTGGCGCCGCGCGGCCCGCGCGCGTTAGGCGGGCCCGCCCCGGCGCGCGCGCGCCGCTGCGGACGTGCGGAGACAATTCGCCAAACCGATGCGGGAGAACATCGGTCATCCGCATCTTCCCCCTCTCTCTTCCGGCTTCATGTGGGATTCGGGCGGCTGGCTGATTGCGTTGCTGGAATGGGGTGGGTGGGGAGGGGAAAGGCATGCATGGCGACACTTTTGGCAGGATTTGGGCCATCCGCCGATTTTCGCTAGGTGATTGTCGATCGTTGGCCCGTTCCTCTCGGCCGCCCGCGGGGTCGCGAAGATCATCGCGCGTCGCGCGCCGCGTTCTCGGCCAGGTCGGTTGCCTTTGTCCTCGGGGGCGGCGCGCTTTGTGCTGGGGCGGGAAAGGGGAAAACGCATCGCGGGGCGCGCTGTTCGAAAGCATGCGACGTAAGACAAATGAGCACCAGGTCGCTGCGATCTGAGAAGGGGGAACTGGGGCAGAGGGCGCGGGGCCCGGTGGCCAGGTCTGACACGCTGTCCTTCGAGGAGCAGCTGGAAGACTTCATGCGCATGCCTCGCAAGGGGATGTACAATCGGTGCGGGCGCATGCAGGGCGGCGAGGTCGAGGAGGAACAGGAAGAGGAGGATAAGGAAAAAGGAGGTGGAGGAGGATGACGAGGAGGAGAAGGAAAAGGAGGCGGAGGAGGAGGTTCCGGAGGAGGAGGAGGAGGAGGAGGAGGAGGAGGAGGAGGAGGAGGAGGAGGAGGAGGAGGACAGGAGGAGGAGGAGGAGGAGGAGGAGGAGGAGGAGGATGGGGAAAAGGAGGGGGGGGAGGAACAGGAGGAGGAACAGGAGGAGGAAGAACAGGAGGAGGAGGATGAGGAGGAAGAGGGAAGCATCGAGGAGGAGGAAAAGGCCGAGGAGGAGGAGGAGGAGGAGGGAGGAGGAGGGAGGGGGGAGGAGGAGGAGGAGGCGGACGAGGAGGTGGAGGTAGGAGGAGGAGGAGCAGGAGGAGGAGGAGGAAGAGGAGGAGGAGAAAAGGAACACCAGGAGCAGGATGAGGAAAAGGAGGAGGATGAGGAGGAGGCCGAGGAGGAGGGGGAGGAGGAGGAGTAGGAGGAGGAGGAGGAGGAGGAGGAGGAGAGGGATGCGCAGGGATGAGGAAGAGGAAGAGGAGGAGGAGGAGGAGGAGGACGAGGAAGAGGAGGAAGAGGAGGAGGAGGAGGAGGAGGATGAGACGGAGGCGGGGGAGGAGGAGGGAGAGGAGACAGGGAATGTCGTGCCGCGACGCAGGTGCATCGGATGTGCGAACCGATGCATCGCTAACGTCGCCGATGCATCGCAAACGTAGCCGATGCATCGACGCTGCATTGTCGATGTGCCCGCGATGCATACGTGATGCATCGGCGATGCGGCGCGAACATTCGACCCCATCCAATGGGACCCGCCCACATCGGAGGCCTCCGAAGGACGAATCGCTGTGGCGCCACCCGCCTATTGCTCGAGCCGCCCGGCGGCCACGAGCAAGTGCAGTGGGGCCCGGGGACGCTGGCCGCGGGGCTCCCCCGTGGGGCCAGCGGGACGGGCTGCCATTGTCGTGGGCGGCGGGGGCCAACATTTTGGAGGAGGGGGAGGAGGAGGAACCGCATGAGGACGAGGGCGAGGCGAAAGACCATCGGCATGAGGGCGAGGATAACAAAAACGGGGGCCTGTGCCTTGGCAGCAGCGTCGCCGTCCATAACCTTGCGCGGCGAGGGCGGCAGTGGCCGCCGCAGTCTTCAGCAGAGGCCAATGAAGAGAAGGCGGAGGAGGCGGAGGCGGATGCAGATGCGGAGGAGGCGTAGGCTGATGCAGAGGCTGAGGCGGAGGCGTGTAAGGTGGAAGCGCCCCACGACGCCGTCCTCCCGCAGCTCTTCCTCCCCCCTGCCCACCCGCAGTGGCACGGCCCCCTCCTGCGCCTGCATGTCTTCCGGCTTCCTAGGCTGGAAGACGAAGTACCGGCATGTTCATAAACATCAGCGTTCGGAGTTCCGCGCGGAGTTCCTGGATCGGCGCGGGGTATGGCGCCGTCCCAGATTTGAGGGGGTCTGGCCGCTGGAGCCTCCTCCTCCTCCTCCTTCCCCCTTCCAACTTGTGGTGGTGGTGGTGGTGGTGGAAAATAGGTCCATCACGAACAGTTCAAGGTTGTTGGACGCGACACGAACCCCGCCGTGCGCCTGCCGCTGCCTGCCACCCTCGCTCTTCTCCGCGCCAATTCCCTCGTCCAGCTTCTGCCAGGGGAGGCCCTCACGCGGCCTCGAGCAGGGCTGGACCTGGGCGCTGTTTTGCTGGACTTCGGCCAGGTTTTGCTTTTCGTTGTGGCAGGGAGGTAAGGAGGTACAGGACAAAGGGTCGAGCAAAACGAAGCACAACACGAGAACAAAACGATAACGAACGTTTAGGTCCAGCCCTGTGATCGTCTTCCTGGCCCCCTTTTTGGGCACATCCGAGTGTAGCAACCAGAAGCTGCATGCGCGGACCTCCGCGGGCTCGTCTTTGAGTACGCAAGGGCCTCCTCCTCCTCCTCCTCCTCCTCCTCCTCCTTGTCCTCCTCCTCCTACTGCTCCTCCTCCTCCTCCTCCTCCTGCTGCTCATCCTCCTCCTCCTCCTTGTCCTCCTCCTCCTGCTGCTGCTGCTCCTCCTCCTCCTCCTCCTCCGCGCCAGGACGAGAAGGGGATCTTCAACACTGGCACCTCGCGTAAGGTCACCGATTGTGTATGGCGCGCGGCAGTGAGAGCAGAAGATGCTACAGGCGAGGAGAGGGCCTTCCTCATCCTGCTTTGGGACCTGGCCAAGGCTGAAAGTATCGCACAAGACCTTGTGCCGCCTGGGCTGCGCAGAGCGTTTCCCCCTGCACGTGCTGCGCGTGGTCATCGGTGCGTTCCGCTGGAGGCGCACCCTCATGCTGGATGGCCTGGCAGGAGACAGCCTGCACCCTGAAAGCGGCATCATCGCGGGGTGCTTCTCAGCTACCTATGCCCTCCAGGCGTACTTGGTGGACGAGCTGAGGGCCCAGGCCACCGAGCACCCCCAGGTTGGGATCGCAGTCCACGTGGACGACATCAGCCAGGAGGTCGTCGCCGACAGTGCGGACGCCTGTGTGGACTACATGGTGGAGACGGCGCGAGGGCTCAAGAGCGCCCTGCACGACGAACTCCAGATGCAGGCTGCCGACGCCAAGGGGACCATCCTGGGCCACAGCGACATTGGGCTTGCCCAGGCCTGAACAGCTCGCCGCCGTGGTGCAGCGTTCGAGGGTGCCGCCGCGTAGGGCACTCCCCGGCCGCCCCCAGGCGACGGAACCCAACCTTGGAGCTGACTTTCGAGCAGGGCGCCGTCGGCACGGCAACTTTGTGCGCAACATCCACCCTGGGCCCGTGCGAGGCAAGAGGTGGAAGGCAGCTAAGAAAATATTGAATATGGCATTCCGAGCGATGAAGGCATTTCGGCAAACCCGCCGCATTCTGCACACGGCCATCCTGCCCATGAAGAAGTGGGGAGGTGAGGTCTGCGGGTTCATTGTCCAGGAGCTCGACGGCATGAGGTGAATCACGAAACAGGTCTGCGGGCACAGCCACATGTCGCCAGATGTGTTCGGCGCCATGTACCCCGAGATCGACCCCCTGGGCAAGACCGCTTTCATGCCCCTCGGGCCGCTACTTCGAAGAATGGTGGAGGGCGGCCGACGATAGGCACCGCCACGGCAAGGTGCTGCCCGTCACGACGCTGCGCAGGGTCTACGAGCAAGCCCTCCAGGACAACCAGAACGGGGCCCACGAAGCAGGGCCAGTCGGAGCAGCGCTGAAGGCGACAGTGGTCGCTGGCTGGTCGGTGGAGAGTGCGACGGTTTTCGTGTCTCCACGGTTTGGACGCCTTCGGCCCTGGAGCACGCCCCCAAGAGGATGGAGTACTTCTACCTGCGCGGCGTGCTGGGCAGGGTCCGCGAGCGGGCCACGGGCAGCGTGAGACGTCGAGAGAACTTGGACGAGGAGGCCCTGCCTGAGGTTTGGTGGGGGGTGATCGCGGCTACCCTTGGCAGCAAGCACCTCGCCCCGCTCGAGAAGTGGGCCGTCGCCTCCGTCGTGGGAGGCACCTACCTCACGGGCGCCAAGATGGTTGAGTGGGGCTACGACGAGAGCGCGGGCACCTGCAGGCTCTGCGGGGTGCGTGATGACCTGGCGCACCGCCTCGGACTGTGTGCGGCCTTTGCTGAGGGCCGACTGAAAGTGACCCCTCCTCCTCCCCGCCGCTCGTCAGGCAACCAAGGGAGCGAAGATAGCATCGGCCCGTTGTGTCCCAGGGTGCCTTCGGTGCCTGTCAGGCCCACGGTGGCCTTACCCGCGGCGCCAGCGAAGATGATCGTGCGAGCGTTTGTTGGAGACGAACCCGTGCCACTTGAAGAGTTTGTTTTTGAGCCTCACCTGCCTCTTGCGGGTGACGGGTCAGCCTCCACCAGTGCCCTCAAGGAGCTCCGTCGGGGGGGATGGGCGGTGGTTCAGCGGGGGAGGGACGGGATCGCTCGCAAGCTCGTAGGCTCCCTCACTTGTCAGCTCCCTCCCTCCGCTCACGCTGCCGAGCTTCAAGCGTTCTGCCGAGCGGCACACGATGCCGACGGTAGCCAGCCGTACGTTGGCGACAATGCGGCGGTGTTGGCCGCTCGAGCACGCGGGTGCGCGTGCACCTCTAGCCCAGCCTGGCGGGATGCTGGGCACTGGCGCCGCATTCGGCGCGGGGACCTCGCATACAGAGCGGGGGTCAAGGTAAAGTCGCACCAGGGCGTGCCCACCGCCCCTCAGACTGAGGGCGAGTGGATGATCGTCCTCAACTCTTGGGCCGATGAAGCGGCCAAGGAGGCCCTCAACCTGTGGCCCAGGCGGGCCCAAGACGAGGCCATCCTGGAAGATGCCTGCGTCGAGGCGCGGCGTGGCCTGGTGAATCTGGGGCGGGTGCTGGCGTGTGGGCCCGCTCCCGAGGTGGAGTGGGCCCATTTGCCCCCGCGCGCTCGGCCACCGACATCGGTGAGGCCGTGTTTCCTGCAGCACGAGCTGCACGAGGGGGCCGATGGCCGCTGGCGATGCGTTCAGTGCCTGCACGGTTTTCGGAGCTGGAAGGCTGGCATGGCCTCAGAGTCCGGGCGCGACGCGCCCAAGAGCTGGAGGAGCCTGCGTGAACACGCGGACTCACATGTCTTGTATGGGGTGGTGATTGGCCCTAAGGGCTGCCCACCCGAGCAGGGTGATTGTATGCTGTGCTGTGTCCAGTGCGCACAGTATGCGCTGCAGCATCCCGTCGGCTTGGCCAAAACGTGCCCTGCCAGACGGCCTGGATTCGTCCTGGACAAAATGGGCAAGGAACGAAGGAGCCGTTTCGATCGAGGCCTCCACCCCAGGACGGGAAGGAAGGAGGTAATCTTCGAGAGCCCGGCTCTCCAGGATCTTGGTTTCCTCACTCACGGGAGTGAGCACAGTGCTTAGTGCACCCCCGCAGCTGGCATGATCGGCGTCCCACGGAGGAGCACAAAAACATCCTCCTCCGCGCCCTTCCCCGAGCCCAGCTTTTGCCAGGGGAGGCCCACGCGGCCTCGAGCAGGGCCGGGCCCAGGCGCTGCTCTGCTGGCCTCCGGCCGGGTTTTTTTGTGTCTCCTCGCGGCAGGGGGGCAGGGAGGTACAGAGCCGGTTTTAATACATGCTCCGCGTGCGGACCATGTATTAACAATACAAAAGGGTTGATTAATGAACACAAGGATGAGCTCATGCATTCCTTTATTCATACATGAATCATGTACTAAAACTCCTAGATATTAAAAAGCCCATGCGTTAAAACCTGCCCGGTACGGGGCAACGGGTCGAGCAAAACGAAGCACCGACCGAACACAACGAACAACAACGTTCAGGTCCAGCCCTGGCCTCGAGCAGCCCTCGCAGGGTCCAGGTGGCCCCCCCCCACACGGCGGGGGGAGCTGTGGCACGTTGGCCCCTCCTTTTCCGAGGCCCGGCGATGGCGGCAGGGCAGCGGGGGTTTTCCGGGGGAGGCGACGCAGAGGCAAGCGCCCCGACGGGGGGCGACAGGAGGAAGAGGCTAGAGTCAAGTCGGGCCTGCCCCTCTACAGGAGGACTATTCAAAAATAGTCCACAAAGAGTCTGGGAACGCTGTTCTGAGTAGTTTTGAGCAATTGTTTTTGCTATGTTTGGGGTCTTTTGTTTGTCTTTCGTCCAGAATCCGCCTGTAGGAGGACATGCCCGACCTAGGGCCAGGGGGCGGGAGGAGGACCGGCGTTCCGAGGGGGGGCTGGCGTTCCGAGGCAGGCGCCCCGTGCGGAGAACGACGGGGGAAGGAGGGGGGGAGAAAGGAGCGGGAGAGCGGGAGCGGCGGGGAGGAGGTGGAGCGGGGGGATTCAAGCAGTGGCGAAGCGTCTTGGTTCGCCAATAGGCCTACGAAGCAATGTTCTAAGGACCTTCTCTGTGGTTTCCACGGAATGTTCTTAGAGCATGTCTGGCCGATACAGTCTTGTTGTAACACATCGGGTTTGTGTGTTAAGAACATTGGTATTGTTATGAGAAGATTTCTGGGGTTCTCAGAACATTTCGTGGTAGGCCTATAGAACTGGCGGGACGGTCGGTCCTTGCTCAAGGGATGGGGGTCCTGCGCGCAGGTACCTGGTGCTGGGCAAGTTGCCGCCGGAGCTCCGCACAGGGGAGGCCATATGGCGGGCGATGCACCAGGTCCAGCGCGACATCATGCAGGCGGGGGAGGGGCATGCCTACCTTCGGCAGGAGGGGGGAGGCGAGGAGAGAGGGACGGAGAGGGGTGGAGAGGACAAGCTGGGTGCGCTCGCGACACATCTGGCGTCCTGTCCCTCCCTCCCGTCCGCTCCCTTTGCGATGTTGTTTTCTCGATCTGCGGACGCCTGTCATGCCCAACCTGGGATTCCAAAACGACCCCATCGTGCTCAGCTGCAGCGGAAACATGTTTTGAAACACCGAAAGCAATCGGATCGTAAGACAAGCAGACACAACATGAGCCGTCTTCTGAAGCCCTGTACGTAAAACAGCACGCGCAGAGGGCCAGCTTTCTTCTGGACGGCGTCCGGGGCGAGAGGGCGAGAGTACAGTGGGTACCCTGGGTTTCCTGGGTTTCGATGGTTTTGCGGTGGGAAGCGTGACGTTCCCACACCATAAATCAATGGACGTCCTGGGGTCTCAGGGATGGGTTTCTCGTGGGAGGTCTCTTGTGGACTGACCTCCACTGTATTCATGTTGTGCACTTGCCTCCATCAGTCAACGAACATCCAACAATAGTCACACATTGTAAACGATTCGTTCCTGTACCTTTTTGAATAGTTGTGTGCATTCCTCCTGTAGGAAGAACAGGCTCATGCCCGACTTCACACCTGCCTCCCGCTGCCACTTCCTCGCGGAGCGGCAGGCCAGGGCGCCGAGCGGGGGCGACCCTTCAGCCATGGAGCCGGAAGGCGGCGAGGGCGGCGAGGGCGGCGGCGGCGGGCGGCCTGGAGCACGGCACCCGGGCCCCCCGCGGTGCCTCGCCCAGCGCATTCGGCAGCGGCGCCCGCGGGGCATTTGCCGGCCCCCTTCGGCAAAGCAGCGCCTTGCTGCGCGGGTCACGATCAGCGATGTACTGGGGGCCCATGCCAAGAAACACCCTGCTAGCCTCCGGGGTGCCATGGGTGTCTTGGTTTCGATAGTTTCGCGATGGGAAGCGTGACGTTCCGAAACCCAACATCGATGGACGTCCTGGGGTCTGAGGGGTGGGCTTCTTGTGGGAAGTTTCTTGTGGACTGGCCTCCGCTGTATCAGCCGTGGTGCCCGAAGCTGCGGTGTGGTGTCAGTGTGGTTACCAGATTGGCTGGCTATGGAGGCCTTGCTGGGGCCAGAGCCCCAGCGGGGGGGGTCTGAAGAACAGGAGGGGGCCGCGGGAGGCACGCCTCAGAGGCAGGTTTGGGCGCTACGTCGCTGCCTTCCCAGATGCCCTCCCCCGTTCGATGCCCCCCACTAATTCCGGGGTGGACAGAACCCCCTCCCTGACACGTGGATCAGACGATTGTCTGCTTTCGGCTCTCGCGAGGGCGCCGTGGCCGTCATTCTCGAGGCTGGCGCACGCCAGGTCGGGGCCCAAGGTCGTTTTCACTAAACCACGTTTTACCAAGGTGGCTCTGTCTATCCCCGACGAGCAGCGATATCAGTCGTTGTTCGGCCGGATGGCGGTGGGGGGATCAGGACATGGGGGGATGAGTATCCGGTACCGTTTTGTTGGGGTACAATTTGTACCTTCTCTTCGGGTTGCAAGTACAAATTGTACCTTCTCCCCCCCGTTAACATCCTCGCACATGTCGCGGACGTTGTCAAAAGTACAATTTGTACCTTGTTTGCGTGGCGTCGGTACAACTTGTACCTTCTCCGTGGGGCGTAGGTACAATTTGTACCTCGGTTGCGCCTCTCTCCCCATCTGGACTTATCCCCCCATTTGCATCCCGCCAAGTTGTGCCCAGAGTGGCGGTGTGGTGTCAGAGTGCTTTCCCGACTGGCTGGCTGTACAGTGCCGTTTTTAATACATGTTCCGCGTGCGGATCATGTACTAAAAATGCAGGGATTTAGCATTGAAATCAACGAGGAGTTCATGCATAAACTTGTTCGTACATTAATCATGTATTAAACATCCTATATGTTTACTAATCCTATGTATTAAAACCTGCCCTGTATGGGGAGGCCCTGTTGCGGCCCCCCGCGCCAGCGGGGGGGGGGTCTGAAGAACCGAAGGGGGCCGCGGGAGCCACGCCTCACGTGGGCAGGTTCGGGCGCCACGCCGCTGCCCTCCCAGATCCCCTCCCCCTCTCGCTGCCCCCCCTTTAGTATGGGGCAGCGAACACTGACGTAAACATAAAAACAACTCGGAGGTCCGCGCGGAGTTCCCGGATCGGCGCGGGACCCCCCTGGCGGCGCATCCGGCGCCGCCCCCCACAGATCCGGGCCTCCCACATGCGGTCCGAGCAGATGGGGCAAAAGGGTCGCGCCGCATCGCCGATGCATCGGCGATGCGCATCACTGTGGGGCCCGATGAACTCCGCGTCCACGTTGCCCATGCATTGCCGACGTCGCCGTTGCGCCGCCGATGCATCGGCGATCGATCGGCGATGCGGCGCGATCGTCCGAGACAGTGTGCCCTGGCCTCTTCTTGGAGGCCTCATGTTCAAGTCGTCTCGGTTCGCGCTCTCTCTCTCTCTCTCTCTCCCTCTTTGAGAATGCTCACGTGTGGCCCATCCCCAGACGGCGCCCGCGCCAATCGCGACGTTGATCAGTGGGGGAGGGCGGAGGGGGGGGCGGCGGGTCCAGTCACGTGCGTCATCGCGAACACGAAAGACTAGTGTCCTACCCCCCCGCGACCGAAGAAAGCTGCACGACGATGGCCTCGAGAGGGTCCGCGCGGAGTTCTTGGGGCTGCGTGCGGCCCCCGTTGCGGCGCCTCGGGCGCACCCTCTGGCGCGCTCCGCGCGCTTGGAGGGGGGTCCAGCGCCGATCCAAGAAATCCGCGCGGACCTCCGCGTGATCTTTTTTTTACGCGGTCCCCCTTTCTGGAGGAAAGGGTTCGAGTTGACCCGGCAGGCGAAGGAGACGCCCAAAAGCTCCTCTTCCAGCTCGGAAGCCTTTTCCTGGAGGCGGCGGCAGTGAGGCCAGAGCCGCTGACGATTGAGGATTTCGAGATGGTGGGGAACAAGCTAGGGTGCTTCTGGCGATCTTCCCGCTACTTCGATTATGTGGGTTGCTGACTCGGATCGTCCTTGGGCCAGGTAATACGTGCTTTGCTTGGTGCGGGGAGTCTTTGGCGACCGTGGGAACCCCTGTCGGTGCCTTTGGGTACCCGTGCGATGCCAGAGGCTCCCGGCCCACGATCTGATTCGAGACGCTTCGCGTTCACCGCCAGCCCAGACCAGTTTACGCGTAGAAAGGCGAAAACGGCTCCAAGACGTGGAGGGTATATTTCAGTTAAGGGAAGGCCCTCGGGCAGGCGTGTGATTTGTATGATTTCCTGTGCTCAATTTGGTTGTCGTGCCGTCGGCAATTTGGCTTCGGGATACTGGGGGGCTGATCGATGCCCGCCAGCATTGCCAACGCATCGGTGACGCGGACGCTTGATCTCTGGACCGGTGCCCCGAACGAGCCCATGATGTCCCGAAGGAAGCCCAAAACACGCCAGCAAGGGCCGAACAGTGGCTCACCACTCACCAAACCACCCCAACCCAACCCGAAGGTCTCGATTTGCCCTCCATTTCCAGTTGGGGGGGGGGTCGGAGAACATCGAGAAAACACATATGGAACCCGTACCCTCCCCAACCCGATATTCGGGTCTTCGGGTTGGGTTGGGGTGGTCTGGTAGGTAGTCAGTGGCTGCAAAGGTGGCTGCGAAGGGGCCACGCAGGCGAACTTCCCCGCGCGGGGCCCGAGCCCCGCCTGACAACCAGTGAAGCCAGGCACCAAGGCCTGTTTGCACCGCGCTTGGATGTCCAAATTGGGGCCAATGTCCCTCCACAAATGACTTCGATGCTCGTTTCGGGGACCTTCCTGGAGCCCACCTAACGGATCTGTTCGACCCCAGTTCGACTCAAGTTCGACTCAAGTTCGACTCAAGTTCGACTCAGGTTCGACTCAGGTTCGACTCAGGGTCGACCCCACTCGACTGACGTTCGACGCAGCTTCGACGCACGAGTGGAGCGAGTGGCTCCAGGAAGGTCCCCAGAACGAGCATCCAAAATGACTGCGAAACGCTGCCAAACACGTGCCCGAAGTTGCTTGAACAACATTGCCCCAACTGAGCCCGCAAATTTGCCATATACCGCACACGGGTGATCCAGAACAAGCGGGGGGGGGCAACATCGTAAAAGATAGTTAAGTGCTTTTTTCAATTTTTTCTTTTTTTCTTTTTTTTTGTTTTCTTTTTTTTTTTTTTGTTCTTTTTTTTTTTTTGTTTATTATTTTGCCTTCTTTTTTTCTTTTTTTTCGTTCTTTTTTTTTCTTTTTAGCTTTTTTTTTTTTTTATTTTTTCTTATATTTTTGTTTTCTTTTTTATTTTTTTTTTTTTTTATATTTTTTTTTGTCCTTTTTCTGATTTCTTCATTTTTTTTTTTTTTTCTTTTTTTTTTTTTTTTTTGTTTTTAATTTTTTTTTACTTTTTAATTTTTTTGTTGGTTTTTTTTTTTATTTTTTTTATTTTTTCGATGAAATGATATACCGTTGTATCGTGTTTTTGCAATTTCCACTTCGTAGGCGAAGGTTGCCCCACGAGGCGCCATTGAGGGGCCCACATACCGATGTCGGAGGCCAAGATATCGGCCCTGAAAGAGGTCGAAGCGGAGCACACGTGCGCCTGGATAGCACATTGGGAACAGCATGGAATTCGAGGTCGTCCTGGACGCCGTGTGGAAGCCGTCTTGGGTGCCCGAAAAAAGGTTCAAGTGCCGCAGCGGGTGGCGAAAAGGTGCAGGGCGTCTGGAGGGAAAAGGGGGCGGCAGCCCTGAACAGCGTTCACAAATAGATCCCCCACGCCACTCCGCCCGGTGGGCGTGCGGACGTTCTCGGCTGTCGCCGTTGCGCTGACTGTCGTGGCGCGCGGCGCGAGCAGGCTCGGTGTCTGGTGCCACCCGCTTGCTTTTGGGGGAGGTTGTGGGATTCGGAGGCCCAGAGGTTGACACCAACACCAAGATCGGCGGTGTGCCTCCACCGAGGGAAGAAGATCCCGATCTCGGTGATGGTGGTAATATTCTGGCTTCCAAGGTGGCCGAAATATTACCACCAACACCGAAATCTAGGATCATCTTTCCCATGTGGAGGCAAACCCCTGTGCTGGTGTTGGTGCCAATTTCCAGGCCTCCAAGGGATACATTTTTTATGTGTTGCTTGTTCATCTTGGGTTACGGTGGCTTTGGCCCTGTGGTTATGCTACGCTAGTCGCCTCGCTGCCGGGAGCGTGAGGGGGCGAGGGTTTCCCGTGTCTTGAATCATCGGGTCTGGGTCCGTGGCGCAGCTTTGTTCCTTGCGGGGCAAATGGCGTCAGAGGGTCCGACGCGCAATCGAACGCACGCACAAAGACAAGCACACATGTTGGCACACACGCGCGCAGACCCACCCGCGCGCGCATGTGCCCATTCGCGCACGCTCGCGCGCACGCACGCCCTTCGCGCACAAGCGCACGCACATGCATGCGCGCACACACAATTACACACACGCACACACATACACACACGCACACGCACACGCACACGCACATATACACTCACGCACATACACTCACACACAAACTCACACAAACACACACACACACCTACACACACGCACACACGAGCACACACGAGCACACACACACACACCCGCGCGCGCGCGCTTGCGCAGACACGCGGGCGCACGTTTTGACAACGCGGCCGCGCGCGCCCTGACGCACTGTAGTTGGTCAGTCTGAGAGAGCGTGCGGCCAGGATTTGATGCACCACTACACGCACCCGCGCTCGCAAGCACATTCGCGCACACACCCGCACGCACACACACACATACACACACAAACACACATACACGCACGCACGCACGCACGCACGCACGCACGCACGCACACACACACACACACACACACGCGCACACACGCACGCACGCACGCACACACACACACACACACGCACACATGCGAACAGGTGCGCACGCACTCGCACACGTACGCGCACGCCCGCACTCAGACGGACGCATATGCAACAGCAGGTTGCCAGACTGATACGCATACGCCGACGCACACAGCGCACCACGTTCACACCAAGCAGAGCTGCGCGCTACGCGCACACCGCCACAGACACCGCAGCAGGCACAACGCAACCCGAAACACAATCGGCATAGCGCGTGTCACGATCCCCGCCTTTGTCCTCGATCTGTCAGCATTGGAAGGTCTTGCACGGCGAGCCTGGAGACCGATGTATACGTACATTTATGCATTTGCGTATATATCCAGTCGCTTGTGGCAAGTCCCGTCACCATGCCAGCATGTTGGGTTGCAAGTGTTCGAGAAGCGCAGGTGGCCGTCACGTGTGACTCCTAGTGTCTCCATGCTTGGGAGGACCGTGATGCGTATGATGAGGGATCATGTGGATGATGGGGTGATGGCGATGGCGATGGCGATGCTTAAGTTGCGGATAACGGTGATGCCGATGATGACGATGATGGGAATGTTGATGGTGATGGCGGTGGTGATGATGACGTTGATGTTGATGATGGTGATGATGCTGATGATGATGGTGATGATGATGCTGCTGATGATGATGATGATGATGATGATGATGATGATGATACTGATGTTGATGATGATGTTGATGAGTATGATGATGGTGACGAGTATGAGGACGAGGAGGGGGAGGAGGAGGAGGAGCTCGTGTGGGTCGTCTTAGGGCTGTGTTGGCTTCCTGTCAGGCAGCCTTGGGGATATCTAGGGCCTCGAGGGGCCTTCTTAGGCCGTGCTGGGGCCATCCTGCGCTGGCCTGGGGTTGTCTTGGGCCGTTTTGGTGCCTTGTTGGCGGTATGGTAGGTGTCTGGGAGCCGTCTTGGGCCGTCGACACGCCTTCTAAGGTCTTCTTGAGTCCCACGGGATGCCCTCTTTGGGTCGCTTTGTGACCATCTTAGGTGCCTCTTCGGCCATCGTGCAGTCCTCGTGGGCCTTCTCGAGCTGACGGCAGCACGAACATGCGAGAATGCAACAACCATTCACGTACCCAAGGGGAATCAATGAGTTTGGTGTCTTCTGACCCTGTTGGAGGTCCTCTTGTGGCCCACTCTGGACCCGCTTTCGGGCATCTTGGGCCGTCTTGAATCGATGTTCGGCCGCCCTGGGTTAATCTTGGATTGTCTTCGAGGCATATTGGGTCATTGTTTGTGTCCTTGGTTGCCTGCACGGGCCGTCTTGTAAGCTCTGGACGCATATCCATCATTTGAAACGAGGGGTCGCGGCCTTGGAGGCTCTGAAGCGCTTGGGAGCAGCGCCTGGGAATGCGGGACGTGCACGGTCCTCGAGCGGGTTCGAGTGGGATAAAGGGGTCTAGGAGCCAGCAGCCATGCGAGAAGTACGCGATCTTCGAGTGTGTGCGCATGGAGTGCGGGTTCAGGCACTCAGTCGATGCCGTTCACTCTTGGCTGCATCAGTTTAGCACCCACCCGCCCGCCTCTGCGGGCGCTTGGCTGAACCAATCTCTGCACCCCAAACGGGGTGATAGGCAAACCTGACGTTGGAGCGCGCGTTCCTTCGCCCCGTCTCCATCGGTCCATTCTCCGTATCATCCTCAAGAGAGAAAAACAGAGGTTACAGTAGTTGTCGATTCCCCGGGAAGATGTGAACGTATGGGAAGTTTTGGGAAAGACGAACACTCAGACCATGTTGAAAACTATGGGAAATTCTGGAATGTGTGTCTACTTGTTTGTTTCCCTGGGCCCCTCCCCCATTGTTTCCTTACCTTCCCTCCTGCCCCCCTCGCCATGGTATCGTCCCTGCTCTCTCTCTTTTCCCTTCTGCTCCTGTCGTCCTCCCCCCTCTCTCTCGCCACCCCTCATTACTCTTCCTCCTTCTCCTCCTCCTCCTCTTATCCCGCTCTAGGCCCGTCCTCCGTCCTGCCTCGCCCCAAACCGCCGTTCGCATCCGCCCTCCGCCCCCCATCCTCACGTTTCCTGATTTCCCCGCTGTTCTGCCCGATGTCGGGCAGGGTGGGCGCACAGGTGGAAATGCTGACATGCTTCGGGAAGCCCGTCGCGCATGTGTCGTTGCGCAGGAGCGCGATTGTTGCCCACCCATCATCCTGCGGCTGATCATTGCCCCTTCCTGTTTCCCCCTGGTCCTCCTGACTCCCTCCCTCGCCCATCTTCCTCCCTTGTTTTGCACCTCCTCAGCCTTCCCGTTTGGTTGGAAGGGCCATCTTTCCATCCAGCCGGGCTGCCACAGATCTTCCACCGCGGCGTGGGTCAAGCAGTGGCAAAGCGTCCCGGCGTGCCTATCGCCCTACCAGACAATGTTCTAAGAACCTTTTGTGGTTTCCACGAAATGTTTGTTGAACATTTCTGGCGGAGTCTGTCTTGTTTGAACACATCGGGTCTATGTTCTAAGAACATTTTTGGTTCTTAGAACATTTTTGGGTTCTAAGAACATTTCGTGGTATGACTATAGGAATGCCGGGACGGTCGGTTCCTGCTCAAGTGGGGATAAGGGGCGTGCGGGGCTGGGTGGGCGGGGCGGGGGGGGGCTGGGAGAGGGGGAGGGAGGGCCCTCTCTCCTTCAAAGCAGCTTCCCTTCAGACCCTGGTGTTTGATACCCCTTCGCGCATCTCGTTGGAGAGACCTATCGAGCCAGTGAAAGCCCTACCATCCCGGAGACGCGTCTTGGGGTATGAAGCAGCCTCACGGAGCAGGTGTCCCCTGGGAATCCGATCGGCTCCCTTGAGAAGGATTTGTCTCCTTTGTGTCAGCTCTGGGGGAGGCCTGCTGAGATCAAGGTGGCCGACACGGCCCAAGTGCAGCTCCCCAGGCTCGGTGCTAGAGGCAGACCCACCAAGCTCATGTGGGCTCCCGTGTTAAACATAATCCGGTGCACGATTTCGATTTGACGCAACTTGGATTGTGTACGCTGGTTGGCCAGTACATTCAGACAAGGGATGGCAAGAGAGCCAGCCTCATCTCACGCCGACCTGCTTTCGCGCTCCAGCTCAGGACTGGCAGAGTCCCTCTTACACACTGAGCCCAACAATGGATCGAAAATTAGTGTCACGATCGACGCCGGTCTGAGGGGCGGCGCTTCACGCAAGGATGAGGAGACCAGCTCCCTCACCTACGTGGACCTTGCGTTTTTGATGACCAGGTCTGGCCCGAAGAGTTGGAAGTCCTGGACCTCGAGCTGCTGCAGTCTTTGGACAGTGCTGTCATTCGCGAGCAGTCAGCTGCCAGGTGCCAGGCCATCAAATCTTCAAGGAATGGTGATTACAACATCTCGAAGGGGGGAAGGAAAGTTCACCTGGCGCGTAAGCCCGTAGCGAGCTGGAACCCGACCACTACCCTCTCCCCCTCTGGCGTCGTCATTTCGGATCCCCTGATCCTCCTGCAGGGCCAAGTGGCCTTTCTTTTCAAGATATGGGACCCGAGTCTTAAGCTCAGAAGGACAGCAGTCGTAGCATCATGGAGGCCCCCCCCTTTCTGAACGTGCATCCCATTCGCGAAGTGTCAACGAACTACTCCACTAGAAAGGCTTGTCATGAGGAAAATCCTGGAGGCCTCGCGCGGCGCGTAATAGTAGTATTCTCTAGTCCACATGTCAGCTCCGTAAGCTATGGGTCGACGCTCGCGTGGCGATGCACCAGAGAGTGAGTCCGACGTAAATCCGGCGTAATTCCGACGTAGTCCGACGTGAATCCGACGTACATCCGACTTGTACATCGGATATCACGTTGCCGCGCGAGGCCTCCAGGATTTTCCTCGAGGCTTGCTCTGTAGACGGGTTCCATACGAGACATTTGTCTTTGATGGCCAATGTTGCCCTCACGGTAGCTGCGATGACTGTTCGCATTCGGCAGTCGTGCGCTCGCCTCCCCGAGCAGCTGCGGGTCGCCCAGGTCATTCTCTTGACGAAGCCGCGCGGCGGCTGGAAGCCCACCGGTCCGCTCGAGAGAACGAGAGACGATTTCTCTTTTTCTCTCTCTCTCTCTCGTGTTATATATCCGTAAGGGTTTCGCCCCCTGCCGCCGGCCCCCTCTCTCGGAGAATGGGCCATGGAAGAGCTAAGTCATGAGGTCTTGGCGCTGTCGTGAAGCAGTATCGAAACTTCATGCGAAGCCGATTCGCAATCAGCAAAACCAACTGATCACAAGAGGGGTTACCACACCTGGCGATTGGTAAGACGTGTATGGTTTACGGGCTTGGTTACCACACCTTGCGATTAAAGGGCCGAGGGAGTTCTCGCAGTTTGGGTTACCACGCCTTGCGATGGATGTGCGTGATGGGTTCGAATTTCAGAAATGTGGCAAATCCCCTGTGTTTTTGGACCCTGACCCCGCGGATCTGCGTGAGGGGTGGCACCGAATTTCAGAAATGTGGCAAATCCCTTGTGTTTTTGGACCCTGACCCCGCGGATCTGCGTGAGGGGTGGCACCGAATTTCAGAAATGTGGCAAATCCCATGTGTTTTTGGACCCTGACCCCGCGGATCTGCGTGAGGGGTGGCACCGAATTTCAGAAATTGGCAAATCCCATGTGTTTTTGGACCCTGACCCCGCGGATCTGCGTGAGGGGTGGCACCGAATTTCAGAAATGTGGCAAATCCCCTGTGTTTTTGGACCCTGACCCCGCGGATCTGCGTGAGGGGTGGCACCGAATTTCAGAAATGTGGCAAATCCCTCTGTTTTTGGACCCTGACCCCGCGGATCTGCGTGAGGGGTGGCACTGAATTTCAGAAATGTGGCAAATCCCATGTGTTTTTGGACCCTGACCCCGCGGATCTGCGTGAGGGGTGGCACCGAATTTCAGAAATGTGGCAAATTCCCTTTGTTTTTGGACCCTGACCCCGCGGATTTGCGTGAGGGGTGGCACCGAATTTCAGAAATGTGGCAAATTCCATTTGTTTTTGGACCCTGACCCCGCGGATCTGCGTGAGGGGTGTCGATTTCGAGCCCCCCCAGCAATTCAGACAACGCGCCCAGGTGAGGCTAAAAATCCTGTTTGGGCCTCCCCCCCCCTCACCCGGTCAATCAACTAGTTACAGTAACCAGCAAGAAGTCAACTAGTTACAGTAACCAGCAAGAAGCAGAACTGTAACACTGGAAACTACAACCTACGACTGGTACAGGAAACTGCGAATCACGTGCCTACAGCCTGGTGGCCCCACAAGGGGGCCGGCGGATATATATGTATATATATATATACGTATATATATATATACAGACATCGAGAGAAAGAGAGAGAGAGAGAGAGAGAGAGAGAGAGATCCTCCTCCTCCCCCCTCATCCCCCTCCTCCCCCTCCTCGTCGTCCTCCTCCTTCTCCTCCTCCTCCGGGGGCGGTGCCGCGAAGCGGATGCCTGGCAGCGGGAGGTCAGCTTCGCCAGGCTGTATCATGCAGGACAGCCTATCGCCTCGGCCACGGAGGTTGTTCGGGAGCGCTCCTTTGGGGCACGACTCAGTTTAACGAAGGGAGTTCGCTGGGAAGTCTTGAGACCCATTGCGACAGCTTTCAGTTCCCCGAGGCGCTCTATCTGCTTTGGCTTGCCCCTTAGGGGGGGGGGGGCGGGCGTGCGGGGGAGGAGGAGGAGGCGAAGGGGAGGAGGAGAAGAGGAGGAGGAGGAAGGAGGAGAGGAGAGGAAAGGGAGAGTAGGAGGAGGAGGAGGAGGAGGAGGAGGAGGAGGACGAGGAGGAGAGAGGAGGAGGAGAGGGGGCGGGCGGCGGAGGGCGCGCCCCTGCCCGCCCCGCAGCGCCACGGCGGCCGCCGCCATGCACCGCCTGTGCGAGCAGCTGCACCCGGGGCTCACGGCGCGACCCCCCCCCCCGGCCGTGCGGTCGGGCGGCGGGCCGGGGGGGCGGGCTCCTCTCCTCTCCCTCTCCTCTCCTCCTCCCTCCTCCTCGCTCGCTCTCTCCCCCTCTTCCTCCCTCTCCGCCTCCTCCTCCCTCTCTCTCTCTCTCCTCTCTCTTCCCCCTGCTGTCCTCTCCTCCCTCTTCTCGTCTTCCCCCTGCCTCTCTCTCTCTCTCTCTCCCTCCTCTCCTCTCTCGCGCCCTCCCTCCTTTCCTCCCTCTCCTCTCTCTCCTTCCGCCTCCTCTCCTCCTCCTCCTCCTCCTTGTCTTCCTCCTCCTCCTCCTCTTCCCTTTCTCCTCCTCCACCTCCTCCTCTCCCTCCTCCTCCTCCTCCTCCTCCTCCTCCTCCTCCTCCTCTTCCTTTTTCTCCTCCTCCTCCTCCTCCTTCGAATAAGGCCTGGCGGAGCTCGGTGGTGCATGGCTTGAGGAGGCCGAGTCGCCCAGCATCCGCGCTGCTTGACGCATGGCCGGCGGAGATGTCACGGCCCAGTTTTTTCAGGCATTGTCGGAGACGCCACCCGACTTTGGACCACATTTGCCCACGCCTTGGCGGACATGCTCGTTGCGCCTTGAGTTCCTGGCGATTCAAATCTTGCCGATCGGACGTTTTCTTGTATGTTTTGAGCCCGCAGACCCTCGATCAACGATGCGGTTCGAAACATGACGCAGAAAGATGGGGTTTCGGGCTCCTGGCCTGATTTGTTTTACGATGTTGCAACTGTGTTGCAGCGTCGGATCTCAGGGTATGGCACATCTTGGGCACAGCTTTGTCTAATCAGCCGAGGGGGGCGAAGATGGGGGGATGGACGGCGGGAGGCCGAGGGAGTGATGGGGCACGACGGGAGGGATGTGGGATGGACGGGAGGACGAGGGAGGGAGAATGAGCTTCAATGGCACCCATATGCGTGCTACTCCTTCGCCTGTGTCCGAAATCCCATGGCGTTGCTTCAACGGTAACGCGCTGATAGCGTCCCCACGGCGGCTGGCATTGACACTGTTCTAGCCCCCACGGCCTTGGTGGCCCGATGGGGGGAGGATCGAAACATCAACAACTGTATGAACATGAACTTTCGGAGCTTCGCGCGGGTTTCTTGGATGCGCTGCCCCCCCGATGATGGACCTGCGCACAATTTTTCGGAGATCCGCTCGGGTTTCTTGTATCGGCGCTGGATCCCCTTGGCGGCGCTTCCGGAGCCGCCGCTGGCGCGCTCCGCGCGCCAGGGAGGGGAGTCCAGCGCCGATCTAAGAAATTCGCGCGGCGTTCTGAAAGTTTCTGTTGTTTATGCCGTTGTTTCTTCCTCTAGAAGAAGCATCGTCTAACCGCCCCCCTATCTCCATGTGTATCAGCCCTACCAGCCCCCCCTCCCCCGCACAGGCGGTGATAATGGCTGCGAGATCCGAAGGGAACAACATCTATCCCCACTCAAACGGGTAAGTCGGCCCGTGGGGCCAGAGTCATGCCAGTGGGCGTCGTGATCTGTGAAGCAATCCTCAGAGAGGAAGCGGGCGCCAGGGGTTCATGGGTTTGTTTTCCACCGCCACCATCGCCATAAGTTGGAGAGGGGAAGGAGGTGGAGGAGGAGGAGGAGGAGGAGGAGGAGGAGGAGGAGGAGGACCCCCTCCCCCTCCTACTTGTGGTGGTGGTGGTGGAGAACAAGCCCACCAGGGCGCAACGACCGAGGAGGACTGGTCCAGGGGGGAGAGCATTGCCCTCACCCCGAGCCTCGCCGATCTCAGAGAGACAACGCCCGGGGAGGATGGGCTCACGCGGGAACGCAGCGGCCCCCGGTCGCCCGTTCCTCGCCGCGGGGGGGGAGGAGGGCCCGATGCCCCGCCCCGCCCGGGAGCGTGCGGTGACGCCGTCGAGAGCCCGTCGTCGAGTTTTGTCGGCGGTGCAGCGCCGATGCCAGGTCGCTGCTCCTCCCCTCCGAGCCGGCCCTCCCTCAGGCATATATCTGGAGGGAAAGAGACACACAGACAATGAATCGTCGACTCCCCAGAAAATTTGGCAAAATATGGGAAGTGTGGGGGGGGGACAAAAAAACACAGAAAATATGAGAATGTATGGGGAATCCTTGTATTTGTGTGTATTTATCTGTGTGTCCCCTTCAATATAGACAGCCCCGGCACGACGCGGGCAGCATTCGATAGTTATGCCGCACGGGGAATGTCTCGCAGCGGCTGGAGGCCTCTGCGCACGTCGTTTCGCAAGTCCGAGCGCAGCTTGTCGGCGAGGGGAGGGCGGTTTCGTTTGTGTGCCACCCGTGGACGGCGAGAAGAACATGGTTCGGGCCTGTCCCTCTACAGGAGGGATCTACAAACATACTCTTAAAAAGTCTGGGGGTGTTTTTTCTATGTTTGCATACTTTCGGAGTATCTGCGGGGGCATTCTTCATTTTTCGCCCCAAATCCCCCTGTAGGGGGCAGGCCCGACCTCAGCGTCGCGGTCTGGGCCAGCGCGTTTGCCCTTCAGCGCGAGGGCGCGAAGCGAAGCGCGCGTCGCGCATCGAGGGGCGCGGGCCGCGAAGTGGGGTGGCCCCGAGTCGCCAGGGTCGACGACAAGATGGGGGGGAGGGATCGGCCCATGGCGGGAGCATTGACGACAGCAGACCAGCAACCAGTAGAGCAACAACTCACTGTCACAAAACCTCAACCCCACGAACAACAACCGACGACCACCATTCCATAAGCAGCGCCAGCAGCTCAACAGCGACCAACAATACCGTTGACCCGATCCCCCCGCGCCCCTTCAATCGCCGCTCGGGGCCTGGGCGCCGCGGCCCGGGAGCGTGTGGCTTGGCCAGCCGGGGCCTGTCGTTCAGTCGGGCCTGTCCACCTACAGGGGGATCTTCGACGAAAAGATACCCCCCAAATAGTCGAAACATAATCCAACAATAGTCTGGGGACTATTTTTGGTGTATTTTTGGACCGTTTTGGGGTATTTTTTTTGTTCGTCGAAAATCCCCCTGTAGGGGGACACGCCCGACATAAGCCTATCGCCGATCTGTCGCAGTCCCCCCCGTCCCGCCCACCTGCCTGCGTCACATGCGATGTCTCGCCTCCACTCCCCGAGCTCCCCCCCCCATGAAAAGGCTATGGGAGGACGGAAGGGGAAGAAGGGGTGGTGTAGGAGGGGCCACGTGGAGGGAGACGAAGAGGTGAAGCGGAGAGAAAGGGAGGAGGAGGTGAACGAGGAGAAGGGACGGGGGGCAGCGGGGAAGAGCAGAAGAAGGAAGGGGGGCCTGCCAAAGCGTGCTCGCCGCAAGGACGGGACCCACACGCGTGGCGAAAGGTGCACCAGAGTTGAAGCCACCTATATTCCCCAAACAGTGCTTGCACTGAACGGATCCAAGCGGAGCTTGAAGGATTTGGCGAAAGTTCCCTGCCGATTTCGGGAGGCGGCCAGGTTCTCGGGTTCCGGGTTTCCAGATTCCCGGTTCCTGGTTCCGGGCAGATTTCGTTGGGCGGCGGGGTTCCCGGGTTTCTGTTCGATTTTCTTATCGATCGGTTTCACCACCGATCTCATTACCCACATTTCCATCGATCTCACTGTCGATATCATGATCTATTTCTTTATCGATCACATAAGCGATCTCACTATAGACCGCACGAGCGATCTCGCGATCGATCTCATGATCGATCCCATTGAATCGACTTCACTCTCGGTCTCACGATCGACCTCACAATCGTCCTCACTATCGATACTACGATCGATCTCACTATCGATCCCACAATCGATCTCAATATCCATCTCATTAATTTCCAAGCCAACCACTTATTGGGTTTGTTCTCTGGTTCAATTTTGGATGTCATCGACGTGGGCGCATCGCCAGCGGCGACGGCGATGGCAACGAGGTCGCGCTCGCGGCCACGATGCACGATATCGCACGTCTCTTGAGATTTTGACGTTGCGACAACGTACAGCATCGCGAAACATCAGGCTTGGAACCCAATCTACCCAACCATTCTGCGGCGCTTCCCGAGGCGATTCATTATGTGCTGGTCCTGGGGGCCCGGGACAGGGCCGATGATCCTCAGGACGCGTGTTAGCCCAAGGTGTGTGTTACCTCCTTCAGCCCAACCAGTGGATCACTACGTTGCCCGACGTCGTATCGAAGGGCCTCGATAGACAAACACGCGTTGGGGCCAACACACGTTCTGAGGGTCATCGACAGGGCGAGAGATCGCCTGTCGCGTCGAACATACGACGTCCGGAGCTCCCCAGACATCCTGACGTCGTTGTAACAATCACGACTGACGTTCTCTGTTGTCCCACTGCTCGGCCCCTTCTCGTGCCCTCGCCGAGCCCTGGGACCGTCACAGAACGACTCAGGATGAAGCCTAAGTCGGTCACGTCCCTCTACAGGAGGAATATGCAAAAATAGTCAAAACATTGTTTTCCCGAGCAGGTTTGACCGTTCTATGTAAACAAGACGAGACCAATCCGTCCAACATCCGCCTGTAGGGGGACACGCCCGACCTAATTTGAAACACTGCTCCCGGGGGAAGGGGTCGGGGCGTACTGGTGCCCCGTAGTTCGGGAGCGGCGAAGAAGGGGGTGATGAATGACCAGGGGGGGTGGATATCATGGCGTGGGCCATGATATCTCCCCAAATCTCATGGCGCGCTTTCTGAGTTCATGACGTCCTTGGTCCCTCCCTTTGGGCCGTGCACATGCCGCCGGCCATGATTTGCGCCCCCCTCTTGGACGCCCCCCTCCTTGGCCGCCCCCGAGTAGTGAAACATTCAGGGCGTCGCCTGTCTGGGTCAGGGCTGCCGCTCCTCCTCCTGGCGTGCTGGTGCGACTTGCTTGACGCTTTCAGCGCCTGCAGCCTTCGCTTAAGCCCCTGGGCGTGGTCGCGATGCCGCTCCGCGCCCACTGCCAGGCCGCTCTGGCCACTCCTGCTGAAACTCTTTCCGCGGCGAGTCCCCTCCTACGGCAGGTTCGCGTCGTGTCGACCGTCGGCGACCCCGCCCGC